CTATTGAAATCCTTTGCCCACTTTTAAATTGAGTTACTTACCTTTTTTATTGTTGAGTTGTAAGAGTACATTTCTAGAGACTAGACCTATATCAGATATATTAATATGATTTGCAAATATTTTTGCCTAGTCTGCGGGTTGTCTTTTTACTTCATTGATGGTGCTATTTGCAGCACTCAAATTTTAAATTTCGATGAAGTACTATTTATGTATATTTTCTTTGGTTGCTTATGCTTTTGATGTCGTCTGAGAAACTGTTGCCTGCCTAACCTAAGTTCACAAAGATTTATGCCTGTCTTTCCTTCCAAGAGTTTTATAGTTTCAGCTCTTACATTTAGATCATTGATCTGTTGTGAGTTAATTTTTATAAATGATATGAGGTAGAACTCCAACTTCATCCTTTTGCATGTGGATATTCAGTTGTCCAAGCACCATTTGTTGAAAAGAGTATTCTTTCTCCATTGAATGGTCTTGGAACCCTTGTTGAAAATCAGTTCACCATAGATATACATAGGTTTATTTTTAAAGTTTTGTCCTAAGTTTGACTCTTAGTTTAGCCACTTAGAAACAAGTGTGACCTTGTACAGGTTATTTTTTTTAATTAATTAATTTTTTTTTTTTTTTTTTGAGACGGAGCCTTGCTCTGTCACCCGGCTGGAGTGCAATGACACGATCTTGGCTCAAGCAACCTCTGCCTCCTGGGTCCAAGGGATTCCCTTGCCTCAGCCTTCCGAATAGCTGGGACTACAGACGCATGCCACTACGCCCTGCTAATTTTTTGTATTTCAGTAGAAATGGGGTTTCACCATGTTGGCCAGGATGGTCTCGATCTCCTGACCTTGTGATCCGCCTGCCTCGGCCCTCAAAGTACTGGGATTATAGGCGTAAGCCACGGCACCCAGCCTACGTTTTTTTTTTTTTTTTTTTTTAAATAATGATAGTAGCTACCTTTTAGAGAGTTGTTGTGAAAAGTAAATGAGACAATGCACATAAAGGGTATTGTTAAAGTTCTTAGATAACCAGAAAGGTAGGGAAAATTGGGGATAATTGAAAGGATTCTAAAATATTAGGAGTACCCAGAAAAAGAAAGCCTCATAAATGAAAGATGATTGAACATATCTGAAGAAGTTGATAAAAGTATTTGGTTCCCGAAAATTGGCTAAAACAGTTAATATATGATAATCAAAAATCAAACATTTGAAACAGTATAGAAAAGCTGAAATAAGCAAGAGGCAGTAACTATCTTATAATGTTCTTTACAGAGCTGAAATAAGGTAGGTTATTTTAGAGTACTAATGATTGGCTTTTTTTCTTTCAAAGACTCTTGAGAATCTTTTGAAAGCTATGGGCAATCCTCTCCCCAGGAAAAATGCATATATGACATACAAACCACATTCTGCAAACAGTTCTAGGAAGTTCAGAAGTCCCCAGTTAATAAATCCTATTTTGACCTTACCCAAAGCAATCCTGACCCATAGTATGCTTTCCCAAGCTTAATTTCATGGTGAGGTTCAAGTGTCACACTGACTTGGAAACAAATTTTAGATTTCCAAGCAAAATTTAAGAGCTTTTCCTATGTACAGGACAATTTATATGGCACCCTCTTAAGCCTTAGGAAAGCTGTGGTACTCCAATTGTTTTTACGTAGGTTTCAACACACATAGACATGGCTTTCAGCAATACTTCTGACCCACCCAGGTAGCTTCCAACACAGACATTGAGGAATGCAGGCATAGAGTTCTAGAAGACATAGTAATAGAAGTGCAGTGTGAGGTGGAGATGGGCCTAGAAGACAGAGATATGATTCCGGAAGGGACTCAGAATGAAATAGGCAGATTCAGAGAAAGTCAGAGAGACAGAGAGAGATAAAAATAGAAGTAGAAACATGCTGTTTAAAAACCGTCTTGTAAATAGCCAAGATAAACCTCAGTGAAGGAGGTGAGCTGATTGAAATAAAGGTGTAGGGAAAGAGCACAGGCGTTGGCATTACACTGACCTGTGCTCTGGGTATGTATATTCTTGGTTAATTTATTTAATGACTCTAAGCCCCAGTTTCCTAACTGTAAGGTGGATACAGTAATAGTAACTTCCTCACAAGTTTCCTGAAAGAATTAGTGAAATAATGTGTAAAGTGCTTAACACAGTACTCAGAATACAGGAGATGCTCAATGAATACTAGGCCCCTTCTTACTCCTAGTTTAAGTGATACTTCATTAACAATTATTGAATACAGTTTGTGTGAAGCACAAACTTGTACTGTGAATGAAAATATAAAATAGTTGATACCCTCAAGGAGAAGGAAGAGTTAGCTGGAGATACAGCTATGTAAGTGAAATAAAACAGAATGTTCTGGAAGCCACCAGTGGTTGAGGTGATACAAACATGTCGATGAGAGATCTCTTAGATTTCCAGGCTTGAATGGTGATATTCACGAGACAGGGAAAATCAGAAGAGGAGCAGGTGTTTTTTGTTTGTTTTGTTTTGTGGAGGTGAGGAGGAGCACAACAAGTTCATTTATAGATATGTTGAGTTTGAGAATCTGAGTCATATATCAAATGGAGCTCTCTAAGGCAATATTCCTACTGTCAGTGGAAGTTGGAATCTTCATCTCTCAAAAGTCTCTTCCAATTCTAAGATTCAATGATGTATGTACATTTTAATTGTTTACTTTTTCATCTGTGTAGGTGAACATTGATAGATGTTATAAGCTACAAAATACTGGCCAACAACTTTCAAGCACCTGTAAATTCTAAAAGAAAAATGCTATGTTTCACTTAAAAAAAAGTGTCTGTACAAACATCTGAACCTACTAAACCAACTGAGAGTGACTGATTTACAAAAAGATTCTTCACTTTTATAACCCCATTTCATATAGATTTTCATTAAATAAGTAGTTAGTTCAGTGCATTTAAAAGGTTTGATTTAGAAACAGCTTTTAGGTGTACATCTATTGTACTTAGGCATAAAGTATAATTGTACTCAGTATTTATGTATCCTGTGAAGTATACAGATATGACTAACAAATGACAATATCTGAACAAGTATCAATGGCAGCGTGAAATTTTCAAGCCATGATGAGAGTCTCCAATGATGACGAGATGATGAACAAAAGCTACTCAAAAGCAAACAATGCTTTTCTTGGGCTCAGCGCTGTGGCTCACTCCTGTATTCCCAGCACTTTGGGAGGCTGTGGTGGGCGGATCGCTTGAGCCCAGGAGTTCGAGATCAGCCTGAGCAGCATGGCAAAACCACATCTCTACAAAAAATATATATAAAAATTAGCTGGACTTGGTGGCATACACCTGGAGTTCCAGGAAAGGAGGATCGCTTGAGCCCAGGAGGCAGACGTTGCAGGTAGCCAAGATTGTACCACTGCACTCCACTCTGAATGACAGAGGGACATTTTGTCTAAAAACAACAACAACAACAACAACAACAACAAAGCCCTTTTTCTTTCCTATACATAGGATTAACATTTTCAGTCAATAAGATATGTTTTATATTTTTCCTTAGTTAAAGCCAACTTAGAATGTTTATGTGTGTATTTTAATTAACGGAAGACTCAAGGCAATTAAGAATTAGGTACCTGTGTGTTGAGCACAGAAATTCCTGTGGAAAAATAGATAGATTTACCAAGAGGTTGGTTTCTTGTCAGTTGGGTGGCTTTTTTTTTTTTTTTTTTTTTTTTGACGTGTTTTCTTTTTTTTTTTTTTTTTTTTTCTGATGCAGTCTTGCTCTGTCACCCAGGCTAGAGTGCAGTGGCATGATCTCAGCTCACTGTAACCTCCGCCTCCCGGGTTCAAGCGATTCTTCTGCCTCAGCCTCCTGAGTAGCTGGGACTACAGACAAGCGCCACCATGCCCAGCTAATTTTTGTAATTTTAGTAGAGACGGGGTTTCACCATATTGGCCAAGATGGTCTGGACCTCCTGACCTCAGAATCCACCCACCTTAGGCTCCCAAAGTGCTGGGATTACAGGCGTGAGCCACCGTTCCCGGCCGGGTGACCTCTTTTACTCAGTGATGCTCACTTAATTGAAGGTTACCAGATCTGAAAATTTCTGGCACTTTGCTAATTTCTATCTAGATATTGATTTGCATCCCGTTATGTTTTAGAAAGTATGAAAAGACAAATGGGAGGTGATCTTCATAGCAGGCTTGTGCTAGTTCAGCAGGTGTTTAGTAATAAAACCAAATTGAAGCCACAAGGCAATATGACTTTATTATTGATCAGCAATGATTACTGAGTAAGTTGAAAAGTTTGAAATCATTCCCCATTCAGTTTGATGAAATGAAGGGGTTTCTGAAGGTGAGGGAAGAAGATGAAAGTGAAAACTATCATCTTTTGTCTCAACTAACTCAGTTTACTAGGAATGGGATGGAACAGAAATTTCCATGTGTGATAATAAGAAGTAATTTAAGTTCACACTCTGAGGAAAAATTTATTATCCTGCACCAAGAGCTACATTTTTCTAAAGCTTTCTCTTTTTTATGCAGACTCTCAGAATGGAATCATTTCAGGAAGTACAGAGTTACTTTAAAATATGGCATTGTTTTCCTTACACTGGATGTCACATAGAAGCAGCCCTACAGTTTACCTTAAAGTGAAATAGAGAACAATACTAGAGAATAGAGATTGGGAATTTTTCAGGGTCTCAGCCTCATCTTAGTCTGGGAAAAGAAATGTCAGTGGAGAATATGTGAGAGAATGATCCATTCAAATATTGTAAGCTGGAATGGTAATGTTAATCAGTCTATCAGGATTCAGAGGTAGCCATTTGGTTTTATCTCTTTGTGCATGAAAATAAACATAGGCATTTGTCTAAAACAAGGTTTGAAGAGGGGGAAAGTCTTCCTGATTAATTCCCAAATTGCTTTTCTATTGCTTAAGCATCCCTGGGGAATCCAGCATGTAAACGCGCCCATTGGTTAGTGTATAATTATGTTATATCCATTTTCCTTTGGAAATGCTTAATGACTCTTGCTTTGTATTCCTTGCAGGTGAAAGCCCAGCCTCCGTGGTTCTTAATGCCTCAGGAGGATTATTTTCACTAAAGATGGAAACACTGGAGTCTGAATTGACCTGTCCAATCTGCCTAGAGTTGTTTGAAGACCCACTTCTGCTCCCTTGTGCTCACAGCCTCTGCTTCAGCTGTGCCCATCGCATTTTGGTCTCAAGCTGCAGCTCTGGTGAATCCATTGAACCCATTACTGCTTTCCAGTGTCCTACCTGCAGGTATGTTATCTCGCTGAACCACCGGGGCCTGGATGGCCTCAAGAGGAATGTGACTCTGCAGAACATTATTGATCGCTTCCAGAAGGCTTCAGTCAGTGGGCCCAATTCCCCTAGTGAGAGCCGCCGGGAAAGGACTTACAGGCCCAGCACCGCCATGTCTAGTGAGCGAATTGCTTGCCAATTCTGTGAGCAGGACCCGCCAAGGGATGCAGTAAAAACATGCATCACCTGTGAGGTCTCCTACTGTGACCGTTGCCTGCGGGCCACGCACCCGAACAAGAAACCTTTCACCAGCCATCGCCTGGTGGAACCAGTGCCAGACACACATCTTCGAGGGATCACCTGCCTGGACCACGAGAATGAGAAAGTGAACATGTACTGTGTATCTGATGACCAATTGATCTGTGCCTTATGCAAACTGGTGGGTCGTCACCGAGACCATCAGGTCGCATCCCTGAATGATCGATTTGAGAAACTTAAGGTAAGGGATCTGGGGAACATCTCTCACACAACTTTGTCTCATAATAGAGTTATGCAGTTAGCAAGTTCTCTAATAAAATGGGTGACTTTTCCTATATGACTAGTGAATTAACTTTAAGTTGTTTTCATGAGGAGTAACCTGCTCACCTGCAAGCTCTCCCTGGAGCCTATCTCATCTGTTGCATAAACATGCTTGCATTCATACACTTCTGGCTAACTTTTGGGGAGTCAGCTCATGGCCTGCAACACCAGTAGTTCATCTAGGGAAACAGCACCCTCTCTCCTCTGTCAGTGACATTATTGCTTATTATATATCTTTGCTATGATCTTTCCACCTCTTCTTTTAAGTATGTGAGTACTTGTGTAGGTGTACTACAATTAGCATACGTGCCAATTTGCATATGTGGGTATATGGTAATGGGAAGGCAGGGTGTGTCTCTGTGTAGGTGTGGGTGGGTGGAGGTGTCTGAGTGTATCTAGGTAGGTGAGAGATTTTTGTGGAGGACATTAGCGTATGTTTGTGTTTGTGTACTCAATGCACTAAAGAAACAGAAGTTTGGCATTGGCCATTACAAATTGCCATTAAGTGTTTAACACAGGGCTAATTCTAAGCCTGTCTTTAAAAACAAAACAAAACAAAACAAAGAACTGAAGAAATTTCAGTACACCACGAAATCGGGAGGGATAATTAAATGTCTGAACTAACAATTTAAACTGAAGGCAGTAAATATTTAATCCACTATCAAATTTTGTGACAGTGCTCACTATTATGGGCTACAAACTGAAGCACTTGTTTATAGTTCCTGCCTTACAAGTTCCTAGTCATTTATGTGTGTTCAGTGGACAGGGTTTTCTGAAGTTGTTGTGTCATATAATATTTATGTACAAGTCTAAGTGCCCATTTAAAAAAGCCCTCCTACCTTACACTGATGATCCAGCAAATTGTTTTACTCCCATTGCTTGTCTGCTATGTGGTATAATTTCTCTTAAGAAGGGAGCTACTTAGAAGATATTCTAGAAAAATAAAATGTTTAAACGGATAGTAAAATTACCACTCCAAATAGGACCTGAGTACATAAGCCAAGCTAGAAGAAAGACCCAGATAGGATAAAAGGAGGGTAAGAAGGAAATGGAAATTTTTCTCCTGCCATACTGTGGATGAATTACTGTAACTTCTGTAAAAAGTATAATGTTGGTGAGAGTAGCAGTACTCAGAATAGGATATATCTGACCTGTAATGTGCTGCGAATAATATTGAGAGTAGTCACAGTGACTATGGTTTGTGCCTCTTTTGGTTATTATTTATATCTGATACGTATAAATGTGTACAAAATTCAATTTTTTTTTATTTCACTCAAGGTTATACTCTCATTCATATCAAGGCTGCAGAGGGGAATAATCTTGTTGACTTCAGTTCTTAGACTCATAAGATGTTAGGCCTTTGACTTGGTCTAGTCGAAGCACTATACTTTAAAGTTATATAAACAGACCTTGATAGATTAAGTGACTTGGTCAAAATCAAAGAAATGATTAGTAATGGGAAAGCTAGAACTGGAACTCAGCCTCTAGATTGAGTTAACTATCCTTTGTACTGTAGCCGGCTGCCACTTTGTTTTGGATCTAAGTTTTCCCCATGAAATGTGATTTGAAACTTAACTTTATGCTCCTGCAACTGTACATTTCATGGTCATAGATAAATGATTAATGACATCAAGGAAGGGACAGATTGTATAAACTTACAGCTGCATAATAGCAAAAGATAGGAGCGGGGTTATAGGAAGAGTGGGGGATGTGAAGAGGACAGAACTATCTCTGCCAAATATTTGCAGGTGTTGGGACTATAATAAGTCATTGGCCTTGAGAAATATTCCAAACAGAAAAATCTGTGCCCATATGCACTGTTGAGATAACAAAAAGACTGGCTAGTGTAAGCTTGTATTAAAGAAAACTAGCTATTTGAAAATATCCGAAAACACGAAAACATTGGATGATTGATTAGATATTTGGCATCATGAAGCTATAGCCCTCATCTCCAGGGATGGATGGAACATGGACATATTTTACCAAAATACATTTTAGTCTGTGACTAATCAGTAATTTTTGGAGAAAGAAAGCCAGATTTTGAATAGTTCCCTTTTAATATTTTAGGAAATGTGCAGAAAATTCTGATTACAAATTAAGTGGAAACTATTTTTGCTCATTTTTGGTTGGAGAGTGGAAACATATGAATCATTCCCAACCGTGTGGTTCGTTATGTTGTCTGAAACATCTTGGACTTTGGGGAGGGTGAGAGAGGTACTGCTTGTGTGTGTGTGTTGTGGGGGTGGAGGGGTCACTTTGGTTTGGTGCCAAGTGTAAAAGAATATTAATTCTCCATGTTAAGCAGAGACGAAGTCTGACTTTTAGTGTCACATATACTCACTTCTTTGGGTTAATTTTAGATTGGAAAATCATTTAGGATTACCCCCTTAGTCTGCTTGATTCTTCCCCAAGGAGAAAGGGAGAAAGTTGGCTGGCAGAAGCTATGGGGGAGTCTGCCTGAGTATATTCCCCTCGCCCTGGCCCTGGCCCTGAGAAAAGCACAGGAGTCCTGTAGGAGACTATCATTCTTCCCCTGTATCTAGGAGGTTGGCTTTCTAGCCAGTAGCTGATACAGTGTTTATTTTTACTTTTTGGTTCTGGAACTTCACTGTTGATATTTGTAACTACTTTTTATATACAAAACTCCCTGATTAGGATTAGTGGCTTCTAATATTTATTTGTTCAATAAAAAGTAAACAAACCATTATGTTATAGATGAAAAGTCAGAATAACCAGAAACTAGCCTGTCTTTTTAACATGTACTCAAAGTGGATTAGAGGGCTTGGGGTACTTAGTTTAGTTTCATGATCTTACTTAGTTGTCCAGTCTACCAATAGGGTTGAGATGCAGGACACATGTCTTTCAGCAGGCTACCAGTAGTTCAATTAATTATTCAATTTTAAAGAATATTTTTATTCACGACCGTTATTAGAGTAGTAAGTCCTATCAGAGTAATTATTTTCTCCATCACCTCTCACTTTTCACTCACTAGTCCCAATATATATCTTAGTTCATGATATATGGGGTGTTTCTATAAAACAGCTTCACATTTTAGAATTTTCATTATCACATGAGTTTCTATCCTTATAAAAGATTGTTGTTATTGTTTTAATAAATTTTGGCTTCATAAAAGAGGTCGAATTTCAGTGACTATCTGTTGCTGACAGACTTCAACTCAATATTATAAGTCCCGTACAACTTTTTTCTTGTGCTGCTCATGTATTTCCCCCTCTACTCCTCTAAAACATGCTACCTTCATCTACCCAGGCAAGTCTCCTAACTGCAAAACATGCCATTCTCTTTTCTGATTCTTAACTGTCACTAGTGTTCTTCTCTTGGCCTGTTTACAAATCCTATGTATTCTTTAATGCATAATTCAAACCCTATGAGACCACTCCAAAACATCACAGCTATGTCATAATCTCCTTTAGGTCAGAAATAATGTCTTTTATTTCGTTAGTATTCTCCTTAGCTTCTAGTACACATAGCATTTGATCAAGAAATCCAAATGAATTCAGTTTTCATAATGGATTTGCAGGAAATATACCGGTGTCTATAGCTTGCTTTGGATCTCATCTTAGAAGATATAAATCTGTCTTGCCATTATATATACCCTGAAAGTCTGAAAAAAGATCTCCTGTGAACTACTGACAATGTTCAAAACCAGAGTGCTAGCAAAAGTATGGCATGTCCTTAATTTTAAGTGCCTATTCGTTTTGATCACTGGATTTTCCAACTGCCTAACACTATGGTGACATTTGCGTAAATCAGATGTGATTATTATAATTCTTTTTGAGAGTGATGTCTTCACATTTCCATGCCCACAGCCTGCCAAAAATATAGCTGATGAAAACCAGGGGGAATAGAGGAATTTCCTGAAAGGAATAAACAAGCACCTTTTCTTTTTCTCATTACATTTCCACAAATTCATTACTACAAATAATTCTTAAATGCAGTTACATTTACATATCAGGGATCTTGTTATAAAATATTACCTAGCACTGGAGTAAGCCTTTTATCATGGGAAAGTAAAACACACACGCTCTCTGTCTCTCTCTGTCTCTCTCTCTCTCTCTCTCTCTCTCTCTCTCAGCGAGACTGAGACAGAGAAAGCTAATGATTGCCAGACAAAGAGAAGGGAGATATGAGACTTGGAGGATGTTCAAAGGAAAGCCACAATGAGAGTTAAAAGGTTAGAAAATATAATATTCTAGAATCTTATCACAGTTGATTACTTGTCCTTCTTCCTACTCAGTTACTCTGTCATCTACCCACCCATTCTCACTCAGTCACCACCTTCTCCCAGTCATTTATCTACTCACCCACTTGACACTCACTACTGTCTGCCAAGACAGATACCCTCTCAACTAATGTACTAATGGGCGTATGACTATATCTCAACCAGTATAAGTATAAATATAAGGGAAAGAAAGTGAAATATATTTTTGAGAGACTCAGTTGAGAGTATATTTGCATACACATGTATGCATCGCTGTATATGAGTGTGTATAGTCTTGCATAAATATGTGGCTGAGAATGACTCTGTGTCTGTGTATGAAAGTATATCTATAAAATGTGTATCATTGCACGTGAAGATGTGAGAGTGTGTAAATCTTCTGATAAGTTGGGTAGGAGAGGGCCATGAGTGTAAGGTAAACTTTCTGTTGTCACCCTAGGGAGAGTTAGAGCCTCAGCAGAACCCATCCTGAGGCTAAGGATCAATCTAATGAATGAGCCAGATCAAACATATGCATGATAAGAAAAATTTTCAGTGGAGGCCAGGGTGGGTTACTGTAGGTGAGGGATAAGAAAAATGTTGTTTCTCACTCTCAGTCAGGTACTAAATCACAGTAGCTAAATATAATAAGAATGAAACATTTGAGGCCAGATTTATGCTCTCTAAGATTTGGTGGTGATGGT